ATCAAATGTCTACGTTACCTTTCAAGAAAAAAGAAAGATTTCATTGATAAATTGAATAAGACAAAGCCTCTTTCTAGTTCTAGCCACACACGGTAAAATGTAAGCTTTTATACCAATAAAGATAATAAGGTACGGGATCTTTTTTTCTTCTCTAAGAATAATATATTTTTTCCAGGACAGCAGCAGTATTCGGAAAGTGAATAAACTGTGTTTATGTCACATGCGGTAATTATAGGCAATTTGATTCGAAATCTTGTTAGCACCATGCGAGGCATTAATAAGGATCATATCTTTCTGAAATGTATGTTGTTTATCCTATTGAAAGGAAGAATTCTATTGATTTACAACGATTTTCCATAACAACTTCCAGGGTTATTCCCCAATATTACAAAATACAGACTTTAATCTTAAAGGTTTTTTTTTGGGTTTTTTGTTTCACTCATATAACTTTTTGAACGACTTATTTGCTGGTGGGCGTATGTTTCGTTGCTTGGCAAACTATTTACATTTCAATACAAAGGGAGATAACTGTGTACCCTCCCTGTTTGTACTCCTCTGTGTGCTGCTGACAATTTAATTATGAAGGTTTTCCGTGATAAGTTGTTTCACTCCTAATTGTGAAGGTTTTCCGTGATAAGTTGTTTCGCTTCTATAACTTTTTGAACGACTTATCTGCAGTGAGCGTATGTTTCGTTGCCTGGCAGACTATTTACATATCAATACAAAAGGAGTTAACTGTGTTCCCCCCCCCCCTTTGTGCCCTCTCTGTGTGCTGCTCAAAATTTGTACACAGATCTAGGTTAAATTTTATATGTACTAACAATTTGATTAAATATTACGTAACCTCTGAATCTGTTTACCTTGGTAATTTTGCAAGCCTGTTTCCCGCCAAAATTCACCATATAAACATGTTAGTCTTAAAATGACGATAAGTCGTTAAACCCCATTACATTCCATTCCAGCCTCCATTTCTTTTAAAAACAAAAATACAAATGGGGTTTAATGCCCTACTGTTCTGCTCAAGAAAAATACAACGCGTTTCTTTAAACATTATTATAGATAAGACGAAATTATATTAAAGACGTATTGTTGTATATCAGACATCAACACTATCATATATACACCGACATAGATATTATATAATATACTAATTTAATATATATGGTAAATATACAAAGAATATGTTCACGTGCAACTTCAATAGCTAGCAGACGACAACTAAAACCGGAAGCCGGTTTACTGCCACACATGAACACAAACAAGGAATAATATTATTAGAACCTATTGCGAAAAATAAAAACCATTCTTATAAAAGATTCAGTCTTTTGTCGCATGTCCTCTCGTGTGGGTGGGATTCTAATCGTCCTATCCACTAATTTCTCCATTCTTTCACCTCCAACAGTCTATTTTCTTTCCGTTTCCTTTTACACGGTCGTATTTAAATTGCCGTTACTAATATTTTTATTTCCCCCAGCAAGTACGTCCGTCGGTAGTTAGCTGTGTATTTGCCTGACAACCTACCTTTTAACATCAGATCTGCAGTCTAACTATATCTTAAAGAAATTTGTATTCCGTTCGCCTGAACCTTAAAATGTAGCCAATAAAAGATATTTTGTTTGGAGAGTACGATTGTAACTAATCACAATTGCTAAAGTCAAGCGTCACTGCAAAGAAAACAAACAACTGTTAAATAATTAGTTGCATCATAATCAGATTGGGAAGAACCGGACAATCCGGAGAAACCGACGAAGTTAGACAGTCGATCTACTTCTTTTCGCTTTAAAATCGTGGGCTCGTATCCACAACCATATTTTTGACAAATCCAAGACCCGAAACTACACGGTTTAGATCGTGTCGGATTAAAGCGGCGATGGGCCTGGGTTACTTTACTTGTTGGTGCCCCTCATCCCACACCCTCATGACTAGACGAAGATGGAAGGGTGTTTTAATAGAACTGGGTATAACCTAGGATGATAACGAGTGTTTGAGACCCTCGGCTTCAAAATTGCCAAGCCTATAGGTAAATAGGTGGGTTTGATGACCGAATGATTAGCGCGTGCGTGCTGTATCATAAGGTCTGTCATTGAGTCAACTGGCGTGGTTTCGATTCCCCGGTTGTACGTGACAAGGAATGGGGTTGCCTTTATAAACCTTGTGGTTTTTCTCCAGGTCCCCCGGTTTCCTCCCACTGCTAAAAGATCCCTACGAGCAAGCGAATTATTGAAATAAAATTGAACCATGTGTTAGTCCCGAAATGACCTAGTTTGTGTCGAGTGGACGTTAAACCACATCTCTCTCTCTCTCTCTCTCTCTCTCTCTGTGTATAGGTAAATCTGGCACTGGGTTTAGCCCACTCGACCACCGTGTAAAGTACGTATTAGTTGTGATGACTGTTTAATATAAACCATGTTGATAGAATACAGTAAGTACCAGTGACATTTCAACACAAGTGGTTTCACCATCGTCAACTTGTATACGACAAAACATCTGGATAGATTTATATTTAATATACCTTTGAATCAGTTATCCATGCTCTGAACGTCTTATCAGTATATCTTTTTATTCTCAGCGCCGCATGTTTTAACATATATTATATAACAGTCAGTGTGTATGCTGCTGTTTCACCATCCAGGAGGTACTATAGATTCGACAGTCGGGTTGACTGAGAAAGTTCCTCGGAGATTTTCCAGTCTGGTTTCCTCTTTTCAGTGGTGCAGGACAGACGGCCTGGCGAGAAAAAAATGTCAAGTCTTTCGGATGGGACGAACAACCGAGATCTCGAGAACACCTTGGCGTGCACGTAAAATAACCCTCTCCAGTTCGAATTCGATAAAGAGTAGGAGGAAACGCCGATGTCCCGACATACTTCCCCTCGTAGCACACCACGTGGCTTAGTACGGTTGGTTCAGAAAAGTAGGATGAACAACCCCATTTATATATTCAAAAGCTAGCACACCCACCCCCACCCCACCCTCAATAAAACAAAAATATTTCGTCCATAGACAATGACAGTGATGATATATACGCGATTGCCTTCAACTGGCAAAATTTTAACTAATATAAGTAAACAAATGGACTTTTACCAACGGCGAATCCAGAGACCATAGATAGGGACGCACGGGCGGCGAAGCACACATCAGGGAGTCCGGCGCACCACCACCGCACCCCATCCCACCCCACCATACCCCACTAGATCCGCGCTTGTTTACTTAGTTTTTCGAAACAATTTTTTTTTTATCGTAGATAATCTAAATACCCTGTACATGAGATCACAGTTGGGTTAGCCCTGTCAAGGCGGTCGTTCATAGGTTATATCTTCCCGACAGCTTCGTTAATACACCGGGGAAAATCTAAAAGTCGTGGGTGGTAGGGACTCCCAACATCAGTAAAAGGTATTATTTTTGTATCTTTTGAATATAAGTAATACGGGAAATAAGACAAGTGTGGAGGATGTTGACACAACTTGAAGGATTCCATCTTAAATAAAAACATCAAACACTGGAACTCGGGGTGGTCAAACCTTCAGAATTCTTATCACCTTACGGCTAAAACAAGAAAATTATGAAGACATTTCAAGATTATTATGATGGTTTTTTTGATATTTTCACAATATTTGGCTAACTTCTATTTATATTTTTTAAAATCTAATTTTGCCTTTGGTCTTTTGTTCTCGCCGAACCACTCAGAACAAGGGTGGTCGGCCTTTTTGGTTAAAATTATGACTACTTTAAGTGGTACATTCACATCAAAGAAATGCCGACTTCTGATATTTTGGAAATATGAATAACTACAGTATACATACATACTCAATTTCTTTCAAAATGTGCATTAAAAATAAAACAATCACCCCAAAATATGTCTTAAAAATTTAAAAAAACCCAAACACGAAAAAAAAACGGTTCTAAAACTGAATTTAAACGCTCTTTTAAAAAGAAAAATGGCTTTATTTGCTTCCATTTAAAAATAAACGTCTACGTTGCTTTTTCACATTTTAAAATGGATTAGTTGTCAATGCACTTTTGCATGTTCGAAACAATAATTTTCAAAACCTATTACTAGTACGAGTATCCGCGTATAACTGGCGTGAACGTAAAAGAACCGTCATATAGCACACTGTATGTGTAAGCCCGTCTTAATTAGCCCGTTCGGTGCAGAAAAGTAGGACTTTAAACCCCATTTCATTCATTCATTCATCCCTTAAAGGAAATAATCAGGCGGCGAACTGGTCATACGATTATTTGGGCAATGCCCGGTAATCTAGGACCGCAAGGTAAAAATGGGATGGATACAAATACTGCCGAAACACCATAATTAAAGATGCACTGTTGACTAATTTTAGTAATTGGGGGAAAATTTAAACTGACATTTCGACTTATTTTTCACAGTTTTTTTTTAATCGATGTTGACTTTCGATAAAATGCAAGGTGTGTGAACGTCTCGTCTCTTCGAGGTCGTTTTTGTTGTCTTTTTGTAACTTATTTTAGCGTCATTTTTGGCCTACTTTGTCGACTTACAGAAATCAGTCGATTATATCTCAACATCGGGTTTATCTGTGGACGTAAAATTTTAAACGAACACACATTGTGAATCCTACTAAACAATTTAAACAAATCAACAAAATGAAATCGACAATTTACTTTTGACATACATCAAAGAGCGGGTGTAATTTTAATGATAACCGATAAAAATATTCAAACGTTCCCCATACTTAGGATTATCATTTTACAAGGGGATTATCGCACGTGCATTATGACAAAACGTGTTCTACCGACACCGCGAACTCCTACAAAGTATCAATTAACAATTACTATTGATGTCACCGCTAACCAATCAAAATATCAGACACATGATTGACAGGTGGGGACAGTCGGAATACAACCAATGGAATGGTTGAATTAATCTATCGAGGATAAAGGTAGATTAATTTGTTCTGTGTGGCGGCGTGTTTGATGTTTGTCTCGAGCCGAGACTCAACTATATCACAGAGTACAAACAGAAACTGAACATATTCGTGTTTACATTCTTACCGTAATAGATGATTTATTAAGAAGCATAAAACGATTTTACTTTTACAAATAGAGACGAAGAATTCTGACTTCAAACTCTCATATATTATCAACGATTGTGTGCTAATCCGAGGATTTTATAAGTGAACTTAATAACAATACTAATACTATTAACGCATTTACACTCTTGCATCGAGTCCAGTGATATTCAGCTTCGAGTATTGAGTTTCTGTTTTCCTGCTAACTGGTTCGAGACAGGTTGTCTTTTTTTTTAACTAACTCACATTGTAACTTTGTGCGGATAATTAGAGAAAGCGTGTTGTAGTACACCAAACTTTTTTTACGGTTACACGCGGGAACTTTCAACTTTCAACACGTGTTGCTGGCTAACCTGTTCTTAAGACGCATAAAGGAATATTTTGTCGGTTAAGGACAATGGACCAGTTTAAAGTGAACGTTTAAGATTTACCGCAGATTGGATTTCGGGACGATTTTCATAATCAATTAACCCATTTAATTGTCTAATTGAGGAAAGTGAACCCATTAATAGTGATTTTTTGTAATTGTCGATGGTTGAATATCGGGATGTTTTTCATATGTTAATAAGTTTATGACGGCAAGTTGGGTACAGGCGTGATTTCAAGGACAATATTAACTGATGTTTATCGCGATGTTACGTTATTCGTTGAACAGCCAGCAATGTTACTTCAAGTGTTTGAAAAGGTCGACAAGAGAAGTCGATTTTGGAAGTTGTTAGGTTAACAGTTTGACTAACTCGATAAGATTAGATCTCCGTTGAAGCGCCAAGTGACCAAAACGGAGAAGAATTTCCCAGCGATTTGTTTGCACTGAGAGATGATGTGTAATGAAAGACATTAAATTATAAGAAACGATTTAATCGACAGTAAACAAAGTTTCTGAAGTGCACAGCACGTGATGTTTAGATTGACAGTTTTATTAAATTATGCGTATAAAATGTCGTAAGGTGGCGAATCTCAGGAGATAATTGTGCACGGATAAAAAAAAACAAATTACTGTAGTTCTTTTTTAATATTTTTAAAAACATTTTGATATAGTAGAGCCTACACGAGTTGATCTAGAATGTATGTTCTAGTTGTAAGATATTCGATTTAGTTCTAATACGGGCCAAGGGACTGTAAGCTTTGTTAGAAGACATTCAACAAATGCCTCGAACAGAATAAGGAAAAGGGCGTTTGTCATTCGGCTATTCACGAGATTGATTAATTTATAATTCATTCATAATATCAAGAAAACATACTTCAACATGGCTGAAAGACGCGTGTCATTAAGAACACTTCTTCGTTTTATTCTTCATATTTATTTACATATCCATATCGTATCCGGAGTGATATCGTCTTATGGTAAAAACAAGGACTGGACGCAGACGGGCGGATCTTTCCAAACGGGTACGAGACTTAAAAGATGGGCGGATGCCGCTTTTCATTATGTGCATAACCTTAACTGTGAAAATATATTCTTTACGACGTCGCGGGAATGTCGGAGTTTAGTGCTGGTGCCGAGGTCCGCAATGAACATTCACGTGGCCTTGCCGTCGGCGTACGGCAAATTTAAAGCTATATTACCTGATGGATCTCTGTCTAGAAATAATTTACATCAAGCTGTAGTTGTTATTGATCCTTACCCTACAGCTAATTTTGGCCATCTTGTAATTGTGTTTAACGTGGATATGGACAAAAGGAGTCACATGTGTCAGAAAAAAGGCGGCATTTATTTAGGTAAGTTATAGATTCAAATGTTTTTCTTTAAGTTATCCTTCCACTAAGATCTGTTGGCCAACAAAGTGCCATGGAATTTTCAGCGTGGCTTCTGTGTCTAGTCCTTCGAATGGGTAAAAAAACCCGAAGTCCACATGCATAAATGATATATTTTAAGCATAAGCATGCAATAAAATAAAAATCTGACAACTGCCACGGGGAACAATTTCAACATATACTTGTAATGAATAATAGCAAACTACATCTTATTATTTAATCCATTCAGTAATCCGCAGTTGAATGAAACTAGTCTGGATTTTGCGATCTGAAAATGTAGAATAAAACTATTTTAAATTCAGCTTTGTTTCATTTCGAAAGATATCCACATATTTTACGGTGTAATTTCGCTTTTTATCTCAAGTGACATACATGTATATGTGGGAGTGTCATAACCTTTTCAGTGCTTTGATTCTGTTAGGGTCTGTTAGGGCCTTAATCTGGCCCTGGTCAGCCTTATTGCCAATAAAAGATCACTTTACTTTCTATTGATTTAATATCTTCAACTTCAGTTTCTTGTCAGTGGTGCAGGACCGAGACACAGGCAAGGGACAACGTATAGTCGTTCGGATGGGACGAACAACATTGGCGTGCACGTAAAATATCCCTTGGCAGTTGGAATTCGATATAAGAGTAAGCCGTAGCGCCGCTGTCCCTCATAACACACCGCATGGCGTATGCCCGTCTTCATTGGTATTAGCCCAGTCGGAGCAGAACAGTATGTCGTCAATGCCCATTTTATTTCATTTCACCGACGCCAATGATCGACGCCATGTGATGTGACGTCACACGTAGAATGCATTTGAACTTAAAGCTCAGTTATATTACACAGATTTAGAAGAAGGCTTATTACATCTGTCAAACAGATTGATTGTAAGTACGTTAAATTCAGAAGAGTAGATAGCATCAGTGTGTGGACAAACGTCTCCTCATAGCATACTATATGCCCGTCTTCATTGGACGGGAGGACAGTAGGACGTTAAACCCCATTTCATTTAACATACTCAGATCTCTGTACACAAGGTCGATTTTTTTACTGAAATGTACCGGATTTTTAAAATTGGTATAGGCCCATTGGTCTAAAATAGTTTTAGTCGCTTTAATTCAATGACAAAAGAATCAATAATGGTAAGCTATTTTTTTCTATTTGGCCCAGATGATTAAAGAATACATTTATCAAACGAAACCAGGTGCTCAATGAACAAATGAATATCAAACGAAACTTATAATAAATAAAAAATACATTTAATATATCAAAAAGGAATATTTCTGATTGAATCTGTTTTTGTTTTGATGAAGAGCCATATCAAAGGGACTTTATCTTGCCAGGTACTATATAGACCTGTCATTGTTTAAAAATATGCCTGATCACAAATCAAAGAAGTATAAAACACATAATTTAACATGATTATTGATCAAAAGTCGAGATGATATTCATGTGTTTCTATATTGGTGAAAAATTAGGGATCAGTAACTTCATTGAAAACCATGAACACAGAATGATATGGTGTTTAGCATCCATTCCACAGAAAACGGGGTTATTTTGAACTAACATGTATTTTATTAATTCGATTGCGCACATAGCTTTATAGATGGGGGATGGGGAGAGGAGGGGCGGTGTGTGTGTGTGTGGGGGGGGGGGGAACCAGGAGTGGCATAGAACCCGTAATCACATTTGCAAGAGACTGAGGATGCGCTATAAACGGTATCATGAACGACCATTACTGACGCTTTTCACATAATGAATGAACGAGATCTGACAATCTTACAACAAATTTTAAATCAAACTTTTTTTTAACTCGATATCTTAACATAGTGTCTCTTTAAACCACATGACATCAAAGCACACCAATTAACCCCAATAACAGTTAAACGTTCCAACAACGTTATCTTCACAACTCAAGCGTGTAATGGAACATCATTCATTAAGTGAAGAAAGTTATCTCGGTGATTGTTTTTCTAAGTTGCAAACAATGTTTCTACTCAACTGTTGGTTTGTATTGTCATGTAATGTAGCCTATCCAAGCCTTTATTCTTCTAATGAAATGGCCAAGATTGCCGGTAGATAAAATATTTTCGGTCAACGATCAAAGAGCACGTTGCTAACCCATTCTTCAAAACTACATAGCTCTACTTTTATTTTATCATTTCTTTCATCTCGGTTCTACTTTCAGTTTTTCCATTCCTTTCATGTCTTATCGATAACATCAGTAGAAATCTCTCGTATTCTGTTTTCAACAGTTGGACATTTTTTTCCCCTGTGTTTTCTAACTGTTTTTTCTTTGTTTTTTGAGGCATTGTTTTGTTTCGCGTGCTAAAACGATTCAACAAAGCTCCGGTTAGCTTTTCTTTTTAACACTACAAACAACTTTACATTTTTACACAAGTATCTTCATTCACATGGAAACTCCACTCGAAAAGATATGGTGGTGATAGCCATACATGTAGCAATAATTAGACCGACACGGCAGCCAATAATCTGACTATTCATTAAACAGACAACTGCCTTAATTAAAATAATGGGGGGGGGGGGTAGATAGCCGAATGGTTAGCACGTGCGCGCTGTCCAACCCCGTGGGTTTTCACCGGGTCCTCCAGTTTCCTCCCACTGCTAAAGACCCCTACGCGCAAGCGAATTATTGAAATGAAATTAAACCACATGTTAGTCCCGAAATGACCTAGTTTGTGTCGAGTGGACGTTAAACCCCATTTCCAGTGGAGGAAAAAGACCAAGGTAAATGAAAACCAGCCATTGACTTGTAATTCGAAAAACAGTTATTGTCCAGCACCCCCCCTCCTCCTACCATGTTGAATATAAACCAACCGAATGTTAATCTCAAAATGGCAAGTGTTTGGTAAGGAAATGCCAATCTGCATTCATTTCCTTTTCACATAAACGTAGGACATTATGCATTTATTTTATTTTAATAGATTTAACTATGTATATAACAAGGGTCGTAGCAATACCTACCCTCTTCCATAAAACGTTCATGTGCCTTTTTATATCTACACGTGCTACAATAAAAGTAACGAAACGAAAATATAAGAACTTTCTTACTAAACGTTGGCCAGCAAATGGCCCTTTTTCTGAATTTTTTTTAATGTTCTTGGCGGCATGTGTGTGTGTGTGGGGGGGGGGGGGTCTAAAAAAAGTATTCCCCTCTATCCACTTGGCGTACAGGAATTTCCACAATTGGAGTTGCTTCTCCTTTTCCCTCTCCAAAAATTTCCGCATCCCCGTTTGTATTGAGTGTAGTTTATTGTAAGTATTAACCAGTTAATACACTGTACACTGTAATTGTGTCTGTCTGTTTTAAACCAGTTTAGATTTATTGGTGTTTAAACAGACAGCTTTTCTTTGATCATCTTTCACCAGACGTTTCCTGTCTTACTCTCCTCACAGACACATTCCTGATTTTATTCCTTTATTTCTGTCTCCTTATCTTTATTTCTCGCTATCTTTATTTCTTTCTGTGTGTTTAAATTCTTCTTACCGAACTATCAGTACCACTATATTTCCAATGCTTACTGGTTTTAAATGAAATGAAATGGGGTTTAACGTTCTACACTCTTTTGCACCAACTGGGCTAATGAAGACGGGCATACGCCATACAGTGTGCTATGAGTGAAATGTTTTCCCGGGAAGCGGCAACATCGGGATCGATCACCGGACCTCCAGGTTAAGGCTGAGTCACGCTAGTGGATTTCTCCTGAGGTTTTATATTCATAGGCTAAATCATTTCATGTGAACAGGAAAATTTGTCCTATAGGTTATAGATTATCTGGCCTCCGGATAATCCTTAGGTTTAGAACAAGTCCTATTCACGTAGGATTTGTCCTATGAATTGACCAATCAAATGTAAGCGCGCACTTCCACAGGATGTCTGACGTTGAACTCAACCAGGCCGAAACAGACAAAAAGGCTTATTTACATTCCTGCGGTGTCACATGACTAAAACCCATAGGATTTTACTTAGTGTGTGACCATAAAAACCTAGAGGATTTATCCTTCAAGACTTTCGATAGGATTTTACTTAAAGGATAAATCCACTAGTGTGACTCAGCCTTTAGCAAGCCAACGGCTTTCATGGGTTTTAAAGACATGATATTGGAATCAAAATGAAATATTACATACTTTTATTGAATTATATTAATGAAAAAGCAACTTATCTTCTCAAATTAATGCATGTGTTTTTCGAGTTTAAAGTGATATGTGATCATGATCGCGATTATCAATAGATTTTATTGACTAAAGTACCTCCAAAACAGCCTTTTATGATGGATTAGATCAGTCTTTAGTTATTGGGTGTGGCTTGGTCTTCTATATATATTTTTTGTGTATGTGTGTGTGTGTGTGTGTGGGGGGGGGGGGGACTTCTTTTCGCTGGCTTGGTCTTCTATATATATATATATATATTTTGTGTATGTGTGTGTCGGGGTGGGGACTTCTTTTTGAGCTATTTCGACAGTTCATATCGACAGATACCCTGATCTCGGACCCTTGGGAAATGTTACATGGGCTGTTAGGATCAGTTTCACAAGTAATACCATTTGTCCAGGTTATTATGATGTAAAAGTTTTATTAGTGTAGCTGTTGATAAACAAGTGTTTGCTTTCGTCATGTTATTTAATTTGAATGACCCATTAAAACTGAAAGGCGAGAGCACGTGATTAAAAATCGATCTGTTAAAATTGAATTTTGAAGTGTTAAGTGAGAAAAGTTGAAAGTTATGCGAGTGAGTGCTATGTACTTAGGATCTATTAGGTATGAGATAAGAAGCTGTGAACTATTAGGCTATAGAAAAAGCTAAATAATTATTTATTTAAGACAAGTTGAGATCGGTGTGGGTGGGATTAACACGGGGATCATCTTGTTAAGTTGAAGTGGGGGAGGGGTAGGTCTTTCATATTGATCTTTGCTCAAACAAAAACACCTGAAAATAGACGAGTTAAGAGGAAAATGT